TGTGGTGTGTAAAATAATATCTGATATCCATTCTCTTCTGTCTAGTATAGAACTTAAGTATGTATGTATGTATATATATATATATATATATATATATATATGTAAGTCTTTAGTACTATTCCCACTACATGCCTTCATGGCACAATGTTTAGGCACAGTGAAGACTTACATGTACTGAAATGCTGCAGTGAATCATTAACATCATCAGTCAGATGCACCTACTAGTAAATTAAGACTGCCTGAAGCTTTACTTCCATGCCCACTGCAGACCTTTGTGGCATGATGTTTAGACTCGGAGAAAACTTTATCATATTGTAATGAATCAAGGTGCACAGAGTCAGATAATGACATTCAGGAATTTTTTATGGTTTCTACTGTCATATTGGATATTAGATGGAGGTAAAGTAGTGTATTTATTTTTAGCTTCATCGTTTGCAAGAAGAAATGGTGATTGTCAAAGAGTGCTATGCCCAGTGTAATGAAGCTAAAACACAACTGTCACAAGATTTGGCATCATTGCAACAGGAATATTCCAGTCTCATCAGCAGTTCTAGTATAGTAAGTGATATCATTGTTTAGACTTTTTAATGAATAATAGTGGGGGGGGTATGAAGATCAAGGATGTGTTTGTGTTTTCGTCAGATTCTTGTGTTAACCCTTTTTCAATCACAGTTATAATCTGAAGAAAGCAGTCTTCTGGGATGTGGCACCGTATAGATGTGGTGTTAACCGATGTTTTGGAGGAACGTTGGTTAACACCACATCTACACGGTGCCACATCCCAGAAGACTACTTTCTTCATAGTCACCGCTGTGAAAACCTCAGATCTTACACAGTTATAATCTGTTCATATCAGCATGATTATGTCAAATGTTATGGCCCAGCTGGCTGTCAGTCATATTGAAGAAAACCCAAACATCTCCTATGTCAGAGTGAGAGTAACCATGACAGTAGATTTCAATATCCTTAGTCTTTATTGTAATGTACTAGTTTTCAGTTTTGTCAAGAAAGAGTCCTAATCAAAGAAAAATGAAATGCAGCAGGTTTTTTGTTTTATATATAATTGTATTGCTTATTGGCATAGGAGAACCATTGAAAGTTCATGAAATAGTATTTTCACTGTTGTGTGAGAACCACCATGGGCTGTAAACACGAAAGGGTGAAACATATTTATTTTGTTTACTGTGCTGAAATGAACAGACTTTGGGGTGTAAGTTGTTGGTCAGAAACCTGACCATAAAATATAATTAAATTTCTGATATGAAATATCTCTTTATGTTTTATGGTGTTTCATTTATACACACAAGGAAATTGCATGTTTAATAAATACTTACCTCCTTTAAAATTTGATCTGCATCCTCTTTAGATGTTCCTTTATGATGTCATTTAAAGACTTTTAAGACAATTCACTTTTGCAGTAATGAGTACAGGGTCATTGAAAATAGAATTTTACTAGTTTTAAAGTTTAATTTGTAATATATAATCATGGGGTTTATTATGAAATGTTCAGCACACAAAGTTTTTGAAGAAAGCAGTCTTCTGGGATGTGGTGCCATGTAGATATTGTGTTAACTGACGTTTCAGAGAAACCTCCGTGGGATGTAAACATGATGGTGATACGTTCCTCCGAAACGTCAGTTAACACAATATCTACATGGCGCCACATCCCAGAAGACTGCTTTCTTCATAGCCACTGCCATGAAAACCTCAAATCTTACACAAAGTTTTTGTTTCATACCTGCTGTGCATGCATACTCTTTCAGTGGTAGTAAATATTTTGCCTGTCACAGTCAGTATGATGGCATCCATGCAGGTGAAAACCCATTTCCATTGTAACCTTTCATTTCAGCATATGTACAGAAGAGAACTTCAGATGCCATATAGTCATCATTTGTGTACTCAGTTTAAGGATACAGGAAGTGTATTAAAACCAAATCACTAGGAAGATGAGGGATTTCAGAAGAGAAAGCTCTATGTATAAAGATGTTGCATTTTCAAAGCCCAGAGAAGCATGTTGTCATAATTTGCAGCTTGGTATACCCAAAGCCACTATCCAGAATGTGTTTTACGAGGGTTGGAACTTTAATAGTGGCAACTATTTATTTACAACTAATACAAAATAGATGCATGTTTCGAAGTTTTACTGTTCTTCAGTGTAGTCACCAGCATTGCGTACAACCTGTTGCCAGTGATACAGACGTCGTAGGATACCTTTAGCAGCACCTGTTGTGTTGATTAGCTTGAATGGAGTGGTCTGCTGCCTGAAGAATCTCTGGAACAGTTCTGAAGCGAATGCCACAAAGTGGTTCCTTCATCTTAGGAATCAAGACGAAGTCACAAGGGCTGAAGTCTGGGGAGTATGGTGGATGGTACAGCACTTCCCAGCGCCATCAGTGGAACAAATCAGCCACAGCTTGCGCTGCATGTGGCTGAGCATTGTCCCGCAAAATGATGGTTGGGTTCTGCAGAAAGTGTCTCCGCTTCTTTCTGAAAGCTGGTTGCAGGTTGTGTTCCAAAAATGAACAGTAATATTGCGTATTGATGGTCTGCTGTTGGGGAATGGTATGCGTTAGGATAACACCATCACAGTCGTACACGAGAATCACCATAACTTTCACATTGCTGGGGTTCTGACAAACTTTTGATTTTCATGGTGACCCATAATAATGCCATTCATTCGATTGGCGTTTCATTTTGTGGTTCATACGATTTGGCCCATGTCTCATCCAGCGTAATGATACGGCATAAGAAAGCCTCTCCTTCGCGCTCATAGTGGTTACGAGCAGTGTTGTATCGTAGCCATTTCTGCATTTCCGTCAAATCATTCGGAACCCATCATGATGCAGTTTTTCTCATGCCCAGGCGTTCCTTCAGAATGTGAAGCACAGTCATATGTGTTAATCCTGTCTCTCAGGCCAGCTTATGAATTGTATGGCATTGATCACTCCAGTAACGTGGAAAGAGCATACACTTCTTCTTCACTGACACTAGGACGACCTGGCCGACACATGCCTGCCACATTTTGGCGTCCCTCATTGCAGGCTTTTACCCACCTTGCCCCTGTTCTGTAAGGCAATGCAGATTCCCAGCAAGCCTCTTGAAGACCATGATGACACTGTTGTCCTGTACTGCCTCTGGCACATTCAATCTTTATCCAACTCTGTTGTTTGGTTTCGAAAACATTGTGACAACAGTACATTAGACCGCCAGCTAACACAAGCCTCTGTTGTTCTTGTCACTGCGCATGCATGTCATATGGGAAGGGAGAGTCCATTTGCTCTGAGGTAAGGTAGGTATGTAACTAACGTGTGGTCTAAGCATCACTATTTGTTTCCGTTGCATGGCGTCTCTACAACAGTGTTGCCACTATTAAAGTTCCAACCCTCGTATAAGCAGCTAAGATTACATGCTTAAAGAATGCAACTGAGATTTGAAAACAGAGACAAATGCTATTTACAGATGAAGTTTGTTTTGAAATTAACATCTGTGTTCGTCATCAGAGCTGTTGAATCTGCAGAGCAAAGCAACCATCTGAACTTTCTGGGTATATGAGTGATCCTTCCACAGGTGAACATACGGGTATGGAGTTCTGTGTGACCATGTGACATGGACTTTTTTTTTTGGCAGAAAACAATTAATGGGAATGCTTATCTTATCACATTGAAATTGTTTGCTTTCCCTCAGATTTAAGATATTGAAAGCAAGAAAGAAAATACAGTTGTTTTCCAACAGGATTGAGGCCCATCCCGTTTCATTCATAAAGTTTGAAATGCTTGGAATGCTAGATCTTTGCAACACTGGATTTTTTCATGTGGGGATATGTAAAAAACATCGACCATGTAGGGAATCTATGGCACTATGAATCACCTGCAAGAGAGAATTTGTGCTGCTGTGATGGAATTGCTCTGGACCTGTTTCGTTGTACTTGGGATGAAGTTGAATAGGGCTTCTTAAGGACACCATAAAACTTTGAGAGTCTTTTTTAGATGTTTAACCCCTTTGGTACTATGGTTGCACTAGCACAACTGGCCTCTGTGTGTCTTGACAGCCTACTGTCATGTATACGCATTGCAGTGTTTCATGACCGTAGAACATGGGCCCTACTCATGTGAGAATTCTTAAGATATCTGTTTTGCTTGTATAATGTGTTGCAGGTTATAAGAACATCATATGGTACTTATTTTGTCCCTGTTCTTTCACAAACTAATTGACAATTCCTGTGGGTACACTATACAGAAACAGAAAGGGTCTCGAAAGCTTTTGCCAGGCAAATTACAGTCAGTAAGCAGTGACTTGCTTGTGGCCATGAACTAGTGTGAGAGACGATGGAATTTCTAAATATTCATGTTGTGCAATATATACGCTCTCCATGAGCTGTTCATCTAAAAACAGGTTTTTTTAAATGCATAAAATTCTATCATACAGTCATTTGTTTAACCCTTTCCGGTTATCACATTCAGAAAAATTTCTTCAGCCAGGATGATGGATTTTTAAATGCCTGTTGAGCCACTAAGTGAAGTGTTTTGCCCAAAAAGCTGGTGCAACAAGGATATAAAGTTAAAAAAAAAAACATGTGTACTTCCATTTTCGATTGTCCAATTCTTGGGCCATCTCAACACTGCTATAATATCTGTCAGTGAAAAGGTGGTAGTCTTCAGTACCAGACATACTGAGTCATAGTCTATCCATCAAGGATGAACTATTTCCAAAATGAACAGTTTTCAGATTATGGCAAGTTACACACATCGTCTGTGAGTTTTCAATAATTTGGAATTATACTGTGAATATAAACAATGTCACTGTCAGCCAGTACAAATAATCTGATTCCCCACTGCATTGGTTTTTGGGATTATGAGTTTTGAAAATTATTTTGCACTTGAACCAAACAGGTGATTCATCTGTTTTAATGGTTTTACCTGGCACAGAATTTTTCTGAAACTCTTTCTTTATGTTTCATCAACCCATGTATTTATTTCTCCTTTTGATGGCCCAATTGCTGTATTTGGTGACATTGTTTCCCCACATGTATCATCCAAAATACAGTATGCGCCAAAATGTGCAGTACTGAAACTTGTGCATCTTGAACGTGCATGTGCATTTGTTGATGGGGCATAGTTGCCACACATGTTCCCAGTAGTGAAAAGGAAGTTGTGTTGTGCAGTTGTTGTTGGAAATGGGTCTCTTGATGGAGGAAAAAGTATTCATAGTTGAGTATTATTTCCACTCATATGGAAGTGGTCATCAGATAACTCTCTTCCTTGGTTTTGAGCGGCCAGATGTTATCATCCAGAAACCGCTACATAGTACACGTGTGACGATACAGCGTGCCATCTCAGCACACAGTATATTGAGCCCCTATTTCATTGAGGATGAGGAAGGCAGTGCTCTTACCGTCACCCAAGAACACTACAGAGACATGGTGATTGGACCATTTCTTCAGGATTTGAGAAGGTTCTGTCATGCAAGGGGCCTTCACATGAATAGACAGTGGTATCAACAGGACGTCTTTTCGTTTCAGTACTGTATATTTTGGCTCATACTGTATATGTAAAAAGTGA